TTGAAAAGTATCGAATTTCATATGTTTTAATAGTAAATTTTGCCGATCCGGAAATAATTTTGATAGGTGAGTGTATTTCGGGTGTATTATAAGCATATGATCTAACTTTCTGGTGAAAGATGTGCGACTCGACACTTTATCATGTGTCCGATAAACAACGTATAATGATTATCCGAAGTTTGTTAAAAATCACATGACTCTGATGGTGACGGTTTTTGCCAAAATCCTCGAACTATGATTTATTCTTTCGCGCCGGCATGATATATCCAGCTGTGTAACACAATCCGGCAAAAAATGAACCGGTCTAAGAATCAAATTTGGGATTATGTAGGCATGGAAATACAGTCAATTGATATTATCTGCTTTTCCTATAAAAAGAGCAATAAATACGAGATTTATTAACGTTAATCAAGATCAACCTCCTGTACTTATCTTTCTTCCGTAATAAAAATCGAGAAGGTAAAAATAATTATTTTTGACGCAAAATGAAAATAGAAATTCTTTATTATTAATGAATTAAACTGTTTCCCAGAAAGACTAAATAACCCATCACATTAAAAAAGGTATATATTACGAGCTTGTTGGTTAATAATATTTTCATTTGCGTGTTCCGTTCCTATATCATTATCTCAACTCGAACTTGTTTCTTTTCACATATTCAAGTGACTTGAATCATTACACGTCTATAACAAGCGATAGCGCACAATTAATTGAATATCTCGTGCCCTTCCGCAAATCTGTGGGGTAGTTATCGTTTCGTTTAAGATCGTCATATCATTCAGTACTCTACAATGACGACAGCTGTTCGTCTTATTCTCCCTCTTCTCGTAAAAGCGCTTCACGAATTTTAGCTAACGCTGTAAACACTTCCCGTCTTCCTTCCGGTTGAGCAAAATCGAAACTAGTCTTGAAATTAGCCGGCCATCTTTGAATCGTAATTGACTGTTTTTTTGGCAAATTTTTACCAAGCTCCTCCCAATACACCGCAGGTATCAATGCTTTATAAAACGTAACATATGTGGATATTATACGAACTGCCCATAACGTCTGATCTCTATATTCGCGAATGGTACGTATATTCTCACTACCAGAAGCGAGAATCTCTGCTGCGAGTTGTGTTTCTCCAAATCCATTGCTTGGCCCAATACTTCTCAGGTGTTTGTCCTGTTAAAACGCGTTGTTTGAGTCAGCGAAAATAATAACTTACAAACCAGTCAATAATAGACAGACCCCTATCACAACAATATTAATATCACGGTTTTTATTATTTTTCTTCTCGATTACGAAATCAGGGACTGATGTCACGCATGCAACATCCTGGATGTATAATTTGTGTGGCGGTCGATTCCTTGATTTTGAAAATGCAACATTAGAACTATTGGAGTGCACCACAATAAAATAAAAGATTTTCAGTGAGTACATACCTGATCCCTAAGGGGAATATATCTAGCTTAGAAATACGAAGTAGATTATCTACATATGTGTCGGTAAAGGATTCATCCGTGCCAATCGCCTGCATACCATTCACCACAACCTTATTCAACTTGTTAAGAAATGTTTGAACCTTTGGTTTTGAGATGCCTTCAAGTCGGCGAACATCCAATTCTCCATTTGCAAGTATTTGACGATTAATATTAGGGAGAATGTACTGCTCCGGAAATTCAGTGACTGGACAATGTTTAAATTATAAGTATTAGGCTCACTAAGATTTGTTGAAGCAACATAGCTCTTACCTCGAATATCAGGTATGACTTCTTCTGCACTAGAAGCCGGAATAAAGATCACGTTTAACGCCTCCATATCTGCTGTTGCGAACACAGATGCAGAAAGATGGAGATCCTTTATGCCATAGCTGGAACGAGAACTGAAACTGGAACTGAGCCCAAGATTACTCGTGGCTCCCGCAAGCACAGAGTCTTCTCTGGCAAGGCGTTTGGGTTGCTGACGGGTGGCAGAAGAGCTCGCACTTACGGTTTCGACGTCTTTTCGTTTCTTTGAAGTTTTTTCTGCAGTCTTTTTTGGAGAACTCTTATTTTTGGCGCTTTGGCTTTTTGAAGACATTACGACAACAAAAAAGCTAAGTGATAAGAAAAACTTTTATTACCTAACAACATGTGATATTATCTGTACAGACTTACTCTTACGTGCTGCTTGATAGGATGACGATGAGGATGATCGTGAGCGTCGACGTCCTACATGAGTCCGACGAAATGGAGCAAAGGATAATATAAAAGAGGGTCAAAGACCCATCACACTGTAATAATAATTCGAATGATTCATTTTATTTAATGATTTAATCCTTTTTCCTCTCATGTTTGGAAAAAGATATGTGTCGTTATCTATTGTTTGTAATACAGTGTGTAAAGAAATTAATGGCAAAAAAATCGCGCAGACTTAAAATCGCGTAACTCTTCCAAAAATAAACCAA